ACCCAAAAAACTTGAGTCATGGTCCTGGTTGCGTGGACAGCCCTAACAAGGGAGGTCGTTCAGGGTGTGCCAAGCTTTTTCAAAATGGTTTCTTGCATGACATTGGGGCACATATGGGGACCACAGAAGCATGGTTCATTTTTCCTGAACGGCCCTCTGAATACCAGAAAAGGGGTCCCTAGTTCGATTCCTCGTGGTGACAAATTTTTGCATTTCGAGTTGACGTTTCAAAATTCGCGCAAAATGGAGTTAGCATGAATAATTAGTACCAAATTCATGATTAGGAACGTCAGTAACCCTTACAAATAGACTTTGATTGAAAAACTGGTGAAAAGGTGTGACTAGGGACCCCTTTTCTGGTATTCAGAGGGCCGTTCAGGAAAAATTAACCATGGTTCTGTGGTTCCCGCATGTGCCCCTATATCATGCAAAAGACCGTTTTGAAAAAGCTTGGCACACCCTGAAAGACCTTTCTTATAACTTTGTATAATGTATTCTATACGCAAATTCATAAGGTCGCTCTCCGAAGATTCCTTCAAAAGTGATAGAACAGGCACTTCACTTTGCGGACGGAGAGAGAGACAAATGCATACCAGATATACAGGGGCAAAAAAAAAGTCACTTTGCCTATGGCGCACATCATCAAACTTTTCGTCGCACAGGATGCCGCTGTTGATGAAAGTTTTACGGCAAAATATCCCTTAGATGTCCCCATAAGTAGAAGCAGGCCCTCCTTCCACTGCCCTCACCGTCCTCAGAATATGACGTCATCTTCCATCACCGTTGAGCTCAAGAAGGCCCAAAGTAATCGTTCCAGCCTGAAGCTGCTTCGAAATCTTTCCAATGGCTAATTGTCATGTTTTCTCCTAGGGACATCAGCTTTTGATAGGCAAGACCGCTTCCGCACAGCGTTACAGATAACGTCGAGAAGAATTCGAAGGGGACCAGCTGAGCTCAAATCGTGTACAAGGTTCCCAGAGCAATCTTAAAGGCAGCGGTTACGCTAGGTTTGAATGGGGTTTAGAGGGGACGAGGGGGTCCTCAATGGTACGTCAGTGGCGAAAGAAGCAGCGAAATCGGTCCAGGAAACGAGAAATGGGACCCCCTTTTGGGCCGTTTATTGCGGCTCTCAGATGGACTGCGGCGAAGACCGCGCACGCGTGGACGAGATTGCGCAACGCGTGCTGGGCAGCGAACAGCAGGCATGGCGCCCTAACCGCGCTGCGGCTGGCAACACGGCTCGCCCAAGCCACCGATGAATCATGGGGCGGGGCGGCGCATGGGGCGGAAGGGCGCAATGGTCCTGCTCAGCAACCACAGCACTGTTCGCAGTGCAAGCGCCACACATCGCTTCCTTGGCGGCCTGCTAGTTGCTCTGTGGGGAGCAGGTTCTCCGCAGATGTGAAAATTCCTTTTCGTACCCACTTCCTTTAAGATGCCCTTGGTGCAGGAAGCTATTGTGACGTTTATTGATACATCAGGATGGGCTCTTCGATACTGAATTGGAAGCAGTCGATTTGAGTTAAGGAAGAATAAAAAGGATAAAGGATAAAGCATTTGCCGTTGATCAATCCCTTTTTGGGATGCGGCACGCATTCTACTTCCATTTGTACATTCGTAGTGGCGTTTGAATGCGATGTGGCCTATACAATGACTTGCGGGGGCCAGCCGATGTACAAGTCAGTGTTTTTATCCTCCCAGACAAGTCTGGTACCAATTAACCGACCCCGGAGGGATGGAAGGCTTGGTTGGCCCGGGCGACTCACGACCCAGGATTTGATCCCCGGACCGCTCGCGTGGTAAGCGTGCCACTTGCCACTACACCACTTCCGCCCTTATATCATATAAGCAAATATATTGCAGCGTCGACGAAATCGGCGTCACGAAATCGGTAGAGTTGCATTTAACGTTCATTATCAGCTCTTATCAAATGTTGTCCGTTTCTGTCACTCGCTGAATCACGTCCCCTCACAACATGACTTTTTGAACACATTATTGGTACTGTTAGTCACGCAATGAAGTTCGTAGTCATACCGCTGTAGCGTTCCGGGAAGAACCAGAAGAAACCGATCGCAAACTCGTCGTCGATTGGCAGATCTACATGCGAGGAAGTCATATGCTAAGTGTGCGTGTTCGAAGGAATTTCCTGAATCGCAGGCTACTGCCAGCGATTGCTCGCAGTATATAGATGAAGCTCCGGAAGGAAAGGGAGTAAGTGAGGAAATTACCTTCTCGTCCTTCACCCCACATTTTATAAGTGCCCAAAAGTAGAATTTTTTAACAAGATTTGGAGCTTAGTACCTTCTTCTAATTTGAAATTCTTTTCAAACTAACTAGCTAGCTAATTTTCGCTTCCCCATTCAATGTTTGAAGCACCACTACGCTCTCTAAACACCTTGATGAGACTCTTGGGACATACTACTGCGGATGCACTGCGAAAATTCTGCCAATTCACTTGCACCGACTCTAGTCATATAGACCTAAATTTCTGATGTCAGTTCTTGAGAGAAAGACACCTTCCAAACCGCGCTCTCTGGTATTATTAGGCCCGTGTCACCCAATATCATTATCCTTTTGCACTAACCCAGCCTACCGGGACATAATATCTATAGCTCATCGCTACTACTCATTTCTGATGATGTCAATGGTACAGAAATCATTTAATGTTTTACTTTCGTGCTCTTCTTCTTACTTGAGCGTTTGTCCCACTTTATAACGGTGCCGGCTTTTCTGGTATGTTAACCAATTCCCCGACTTAGGGTGTAGTCGGGATGGAGGTCGAGTAATTTCAGGTCCTCCTGCAGCGTGTCAAGCCAGCGGTTTTTTTCTATTTGTGGTGATATTTTTACAGTTTCAATAATACAAACATTCAAGATCGACATGAGGCTCTGGTACTGCACAATCTTGGCGTCTCGTCAAGGTGTTTAAAAAGCATAGTGATGCTTCAAACATTCAATGAGACAAAGGTGACAATTAGCCGCGTCGCTGGTCGTCAAATTGCGGCCAACAATGGGCCGCAAGCGGCACCATGAACAAGTCCTCATCAGTATCCCATGCTTGCTTATTTTTTATGGAATCGGCGAGTGTGTCCAATCGTGGGATGGTTTTCTAGGCTCACTCATGTAAGCGATCATAGGAAGCATTGATATCACATCGATAACGACACTGTAGGAGGTGAAGAGGTAACGTGCTCGACTACAGTGAATATCGGTTCAGGCATACTGCATCAAAATAGAAAACTTTATTCAAACACAGGAGATTACATAGGACTTGTGAAACACTGGCAACATTGGATGGCAGTAGGAAACCGCCGCGAGTCCCTGCCATCTAAAACCAGTTCACCACACGCGAAACTAGGCTAGCGAATTTCGATGTTTCATCCTGAAAAATTGTGGGTTGCAAAGAATAGAAGGCAGGCTAGCAAACGAGTGGTACAACAATTCGACGCGTGCAGTGATCTAGTTCCAGCGCGAGTCAGCGAGTACTGTAGTTGGTGAAGTAATATAATAAATACATATAATACATAGACAGCCGTCTAAAATCTGCATCCTATGTCAACTATTGGTGCATTATCCACTTAAGGACGTTTTATTACAGATACGCTTTTCGCGTTAACTTAACATTTATACTTTAGCTTCTTTTTCAATTGCATTGAAGCAACAGAACCGTCACGGCACGTGATAAATGTAACGCTAGAGAGGAGCGCTTTCTGCATCTTCGCTGAACATATCACTGTTGACCTTCAAAAACCAATACAAATGATGTACTTTGTCGATCTTGAAAAACGTGAAATCCACTTTCTTGTGAATCCTCGGATCTCTTTTAGCAAGTGTTATACGGTCGCCTTCCTAGGTGAGTGACCGTTATGTTCGCTGCTTCACTGAGAACTCCTGTGATAAAAACGTCTTCGAGCTAAAAAAATATTTTTAGAGAGAAGAATCAAAAATTCTTGCATTGCCTTTCACACGTTCTGCAGTTCGAATTGCCATTGAGACTGAAGGATTTTTCGACAAGTCAACAATTTCAAACATCAAGGATGCTGCCTGACTTGAATCTAAGTCGGCCTATCCGAAGCAGTGCTCAAAACGCAGAGACGACGAATAACAGCTTAAGTCATGTTGGAGGTGATTAGTGGTGTACGGCTAAGCAATAATCAAGAGGAATGACCCAAAATCTGAAAAATGGGACCCCCTTGTCGACAAATGAGTTCCGTAATAATGTACCTGATCGCTATCGCCCTCTTCCACGATATGCTTTTGCCGCTAAAGAGAGGGAGTCATACGGCAAAAGTTACACATCGGCGGGCGTGTAGAGGCGTGAGCGGCGCGGGTACGGCCTCGCAAGGCCACTGGAGCATACTGTTCGCTGCACATCAAAGACACTTTTAAGGTGCCGCCTAACATTCAATTAGGTATATTTCCCCTACTTCAACCTCCCACCTCATCGCTGTCCTCCTTTAAGCACTGAATACGATAAAGAGGGAGTTTACGAAAAAGGTTCTGTCACTAAAAAAGGAGGTGGACGGGCGGCGAAGAATTTAAGATGTATCTTTTTTGCGAGGCTTTGGTTCAGAAGGTAGGGAGGTGCAGGAGGTTGGGCTCGTAATCGGCAAAACTTTTGCTAGAGATGAGCGAGCGCATTCCATCAGAAACAGTGTTGCACATCGGATACATTTCTGCGTTGTCTGAAGCAGCGAACATGTCATAGAGAATCGGTCGCACGAAATAACGATCACGAGCGAATCACCATCCTTACCGTATCCTCCACATTTTCGTTCAGAGAATAGATTTGCAGAGATAGAGTAAAGATTGAGGATCAGCATCCCTAGTGATGGGAGTTTCATTGCAGATACACTTCACCTCGATAACTGTAAGACTTCGAAAAATACGTGGAGAACCCCAAATCAGTGGTGGGTTTTGCACGAAGATGCGACGTGGGAATCTAGTCGAGTTCATGGCTACGCCCAACCAGAGATCAGCGACCTTTGAGCCAGACGTTTTGCTAGAGCAGGTGCTAAATGACGTCAAACAATGGTACCCTACACAAATTTCCTCTTCGTGCATTCCCCTTCTAACAGTTCACGGAATGTTGGCGTGCTTGAAGTCATTGTAGGCAAAATGATTAGAGCATTGGATGATTTGCAAGAGTAGATTTATGAACTTTAGCCAAATGCTGACTAAATCCTTCGGCAGCAACATGAAATTTGTGATTTATTACGTTATATAACCAGTTTTGCTCCGCCCGCTATCGCGCGCATCACACGGCAGGCTTTAGTGAAACTGAAAGACCCATGGAATATCAGCATGAGGCCCTCCATTAGCCACCTCACTATTGAATGTGTTAGACTTTCCCAGTTCGCTGAAGTCCATCGAGAATACGCGTGATAACGTCTGGAGCTGAACTGGCATATTTATCTCACAACTGTAAACATCCACCATTCTTCCTGCATTCAGATAATTTAGCGGTGAATCTTTTGCTGTCAGTTTCGAAAGGAGAATGAAATATGCCTGTTTACATAAGTGAAGAGCTAAGGCTTATCATTTATTTACATTCACCATTATTTAGAACCCCGAAAGGATTAGCGGTTTAATGAGTTTGGGCTTTCCTTGATAGGAATGAAAGTTATCATTTGCTGAAGACTTGATTGAGTTCATGCAATAGACTGCTATTAAGTAGGCTGGTCATACAATGATACAGTGTGCACGTACCACTACAAATAGAATTTGTAAGTAGGGACGCTCTAGTGTCAGCGCAAGCCTCGTAACGGAATCGACGACTTTTGCGTTCTGACGCCCCTTATCAGCCCTTATCAGTTGTAACCACTTTCAATCACCCACCAACAATGTCCCCGTCCCACCCCACATAACACCTGTGAGCATGGTTGCTCTGGTGTCAATGCGAGCCAGGTAACGGAATCGACGACTTTTGCCTTCTGACGCCCCTTATCAGCCCTTATCAGTTGTAACCACTTTCAATCACCCACCAACAATGTCCCCGTCCCACCCCACATAACACCTGTGAGCAAGGTTGCTCTGGTGTCAATGCGAGTCACGTAACGGAATCGACGACTTTTGCCTTCTGACGCCCCTTATCAGCCCTTATCAGTTGTAACCACTTTCAATCACCCACCAACAATGTCCCCGTCCCACCCACATAAACACCTGTGAGCATGGTTGCTCTGGTGTCAATGCGAGCCAGTAACGGAATCGACGACTTTTGCGTTCTGACGCCCCTTATCAGCCCTTATCAGTTGTAACCACTTTCAATCACCCACCAACAATGTCCCCGTCCCACCCCACATAACACCTGTGAGCATGGTTGCTCTGGTGTCAATGCGAGCCAGGTAACGGAATCGACGACTTTTGCGTTCTGACGCCCTTATCAGCCCTTATCAGTTGTAACCACTTTCAATCACCCACCAACAATGTCCCCGTCCCACCCCACATAACACCTGTGAGCATGGTTGCTCTGGTGTCAATGCGAGCCAGGTAACGGAATCGACGACTTTTGCGTTCTGACGCCCCTTATCAGCCCTTATCAGTTGTAACCACTTTCAATCACCCACCAACAATGTCCCCGTCCCACCCCACATAACACCTGTGAGCATGGTTGCTCTGGTGTCAATGCGAGCCAGGTAACGGAATCGACGACTTTTGCGTTCTGACGCCCCTTATCAGCCCTTATCAGTTGCTATCGCTTCCATTCATGTACCACCATTGTCCCGGGACCACCCCACATAACACTTGTAAGTATAGACGCTCTAGTACCAATATGAACGACAAAACGAAATTGGCGATGCTCGCTTTCTAGCCCCTCTTATCAGCTATTATCAGTCGTTATCAGTTCCTATCACGTACCACTTGTGTCCCCATCCCACCCCCTATAACATATGTAAGAACCATGGCGCTATCGTTGCTGTGACCCGAGCTACGAATTTCGTGACAAACACACACACACACAGACCTACACACACAGACATACTTAGCGAATTATATATAGTAGGATTTTTAGGCTTAGGAGGTCTAGTTCAGCTTACGCTTTATACGTCTTTTCCGAATATTCCGGCAATCTTGATTGAAGTTACTTGAGGCATCTTTTGCAGCTTTTCTACTGTTTGTGAAGGCTTTTGAATAAATTACTTGAGGAATTGTTGAGAAGGAGTCACCGACAACAGTTTCCCTGCCGCTTCAGTCGGAATCACATAGGCCAGTCCTCGACAGAATGGTGGGAAATATGTTTTATTCCACTCT